CATTGTACAATGGCATTAAGTGCTGTAATGTGCACCTCTGCCTACCCCTTCGGGATAAAAGGCGTGATGTTATGTATTTTATCTACAATTATTTTTTATGTGGTATATAGGAGGTACGCTGCCAGTACGTAGAATCACACTAATATTATAATTGTGCGTCTTTTTGTTTGTATGTTTGGATTCGTCAATCACGATGAAACTAATGAACAGATTTTTTGGCAGGATATGAGCCAACATAGGACACAGGATTTTTATCCCAAATAAATGCTCTCATAGGATAAAACAGGAATAACATTCTACGCGGACGAAGTTACTAGCGTAATATTTTGTGAAAAAATCTACATGTTGAATGATGTCTAAACTAGAGGTAATTTGTCTAAATGTCTATTCGTTTGCTAAAATTAAAAATGTTTGAAGAAAAGATTTTTTTATTTATAAATAAATAATGTTTTATAATTTTGTCATAAAAATGTAATTTGTGCCCAAATATACATACCTTTCTAGCTAATTCGTATATTCTTCACTTTAAACATTTGAGACAAATATTATAATATATTAAAATACATTTAATATTAAATGCATGATACCATATAACAAACTGCAATTGATTATTTTCTTTAGAAATATACAAACTGAATATTTCTTAGTATCTATGACCTTATTTTGGAATATTTTTCATATGGTCATAATGTTTTAATTTACTTTCGTGTTATTTACTCGCATCTTGCAATAAATATTGACTCAGAATTGCAAAACCAAAAACATAATTAACTAATAACAATACCTTTTTGCGTCGAAAGAATTATGAGCGAAAAATAATACACAATTTTGTTTTGAATGTACTTTGACAATCAGCTGACAGCTTCAAGAGTATTTTTCACTTTTCTTTTTTACTCGACGACCAAAAATCACAAAGTCTTGAGACTTGTAGTCTCATTAATTAAATAATTAGTAATCTGTGTATCTTATCATGATTATTTATGAACCAAATTTCCAAATACTGAAAGGCTATTCAATTGTACTTAAATGTCGTGTCATTTCTATCTTTTTACGAAGAATTTCAAGTAACAGAACTATATTTAATAGCAATTAAATAAGCCTTTCAGTGTTCGGTCGTTAGAGCATAATAACAAGTTACCTTAAATTTTTAACAAAACATTATTATTCGTCTTACATGTAAAGATACACTTCTGAAGCTAGACTTTTAAACTAGTTTCACCCATAAATGCGGGTTAGTAAGATGAAGAAAAATAAAGTTCATTCCCACATCTATTCAACTTTACTCCTCCTACAAGAAAGTAGCTAGCAAGTAATTCTATACATTTAACAAACTTTAATTATTCCGAGGTTTTTCCAAGTACCTAGTTGAGTCGGGGAAGCGGAATCGCGTGCAAGACTCTGTCTACCTCATTCCGATATTTTTAAGTATTTAATGTAACGTAGAAGCACAAAAATATTACTCGTGTGAAAGGTCAACGAACTACACCTACAATTAAAACTAATTACAGAGCTACTTTTCTCACCTATGTATATTTTTTGAGCACTGCTGATACTTTTACATCGATTTTATAAAAAGTAATTTTAGTCTGTAAGTAGTTTAAGTAGTATTAATAGCCTCCATTAACTAATTACAACTTAATTACGTTAGTTTCTCACATGAATCAAAGTCAAGCAGAGTGAAGGACCTCTTAATAAGTCTTCGTTTAACGAAAATAGCATCATAGTACCGGCATCATGTGTACTGTGCGTCACAAACTAGTTCATTCTAATCATCAAAAGTGGGTGACAGCGCGTAGGGCGACGAACCAGTGCACCCATATAAACGGAACTCGCCTTCAGCACATTTTACTTATAACGAAAACACATCCAAACGGTACACTGAACACATTCGTAGGCCTCTCTCTTCCCGGGAGGGTGCAAGTCCCCATCATCTCACGCGTATAGTTCGCGGCATAAACAGTCTGAAAATATTGGGGTTCGCGATCGCGAGTGTTGTCGAGAGCGTCGCGCGTCGCGACGGCGGCGACGTAAGGTCGGCAGTGCGGCGCGGCGCGGACTGGCACATCCACCCGGTGGACCCCGCCCGCCCTCCGTCTCGCCCGCCTCTGTCACCGCCACTCTTCGCCCAAATCTAGACGAGTTTTCATTAATGTTGTTATCGGTGTAAAAGTTCCACCAAGTCAAACTAAGAAGGCACAGCTTTAATTAACTGTCCGTAAATAACACTGAACAAACGAGGAGATCCGACAGGCTTCAACTGTAGTTATCAATAGTCGAACTTCTTGAATGGACCGAGATGTTGATTGACTTTGTTATACAAATGTCCAGAGTACAAAGTCACTTGCGACTAGACAAGTACTTGTATACCTTCAGATATCTACATTTCGAACCTCTCACATAATTCAATATGATCGAATAAAATTTTGTGAAAACCATGTCCTCCAATACAGATAGGTGACCTTATTTTGCTGCTGTAATAGAAAAGACTTTTCATGATAAATGTCTCGATATGTCAGTCGTATGTCACTAGGTATCGTATACAGATATTTATTAACCTTCACTCTACTGAACTCCACGTAAAGGGTATTAAAGGCAGGCCTCATTAATTAGTATGACGCACCTTTGACATTATTATTTTTTGAAGCAATATCAAACTGAAATCACGAATGTCAACGTCAAGGCGCACAATTCACGTCGCAGCTGATTAATAGTGTAGATTACATTTTCTTACAAACGCCAATTCTAAGTAAAGATGTTTATCGGTATGTCGTAGTGAATAAGGTTTGAGTCGGCAGTCGGCTTCCATCGATTGAATACGAGCACAAATTGTAAGAATTATTGATATCGCGTCGGTGGCGGCTCATACAAAAAGTTTATAAAAGGAAGTGGAGCGAACAAACTGGCGGGGAACAAACTTTTATGCGGGGACGCGACGCGAACGCGAACGTTACTTATCTGCTGCCGCCGAGCTGACAGCTGCAGATGAAAAATTGAAATTGTGTGAGATAAAACTACCTAACTGCCGCTGCAATGCCGGCCGAACAATGTGACGACAACAACGACACTACATATTTTTTAAAGCTCATATTTTCAAGTGTTTTTATGATAAACATTTGTAAACTTAATAACCGAGAAGATACAAATGTTCGCACATTTACTTCGAAAAATTTAAAAACACCAAAATTAATGCTTTTTGGTTTGGTAAATGAGCAACACTTTGTTTATTCTGAGGCCATTAACTATTTTAAAACAGCAATCTAGACTAAATATGAGAATTTGCGTCCATAAAAACGAAATAAGCGCCTGACAGTCTATTCCAGTAACGAGATTTTATCTCATTCCATTATGAGCGAAACCTCAGTTTGATCCGCTTAATTACTTTGAAGTGCACTCGATTGTATGGCATAATCGATTAAAAGGTGAGAAATAATCCAGTCAGTATGCAAATAAGATCGCTCCCAGTATCAATTCAGCGCTGGGGTGGAAGTTGAATGGTTGACAGTGACGCGAGCCGTAACATGCAATAATAACGTGCCTCCCAAACGTCAGCCGGGGACCCTTCTCTATTTATGGACGAACTACGGCGTCGAGGGCGCCACGTGAAAAGTCTCGCGTAAATCAAAGTCATAAATTCTCCTATCGTGAATGAACATTTCTCTTCGCGGACGTCTACACCGGCTGAATGGATAACGTCGACCCACCCTAGCAGGATCACCTCTACCGAGTCATTTGCTTTTGTTCGTGGGGCAATTAATAACGACCAGAAGGGCGTTTTCGAACCGCAGGCGCCATTCGCATATCAGTAATGATCTAGCGGTGCGCTACGGCCAACCTCCGGTTCCGCTCAACTATCGATCATATTCACTTAATGAACGGCACATGTGAAATTGCTCGGAGCAGGCCTGCGAGCTCAGCCCCTAATCTGAAAATTTGTATTAATAATTCCTCTAGCGCAAGCTTCTATAGCTAACACTTTTCTTGGTTAAGAAATGAGGAGGGTGGTAGTTCCACGTGAACGAGCACTGCTTGAAGCCACATAACCGGGTCATCAACCGTAGCCGGTGGCGTAAGAATGTGACTGTAAACAGAAGTGTAGAGTAACTAGGTTATTAATGTCGAGATTTTTAACTCGCTTGTAAATTGTACTTCTTATTCAATATACGATTAAAATAAAATGCATTAGAATATATCAAGTAACGAATAACATGTCCCTAAACGCCTTCACAACAACGGTAATAACTTTTTAATTATATTATTGCGTGATGTGTAACATTAAAAGGTTTTCATAAGTATCCGTAATAGGATTCACCTTTATTAGAACGTAAAGGACATGCTTTATAAGTCCTTATTATGAGGGTACATTACATACATACAAAAGTGCTAAAAGAGAATCTGTTTGTTTAAGTAATGCTTTTAGTCTTCCATTAGTCGAATAAAATACTAAAAGTCGGGGAACGACATTTAACAGTAACATTACAAGAGAACGAGCCAAGTTGTACACAACATCTAATAAAGTCTCATAACACAGCTTTACAGAAATTCTTCAGCGAGGATTTCTTTCTATTCCGGCCGTCACATTAGGCCGGCGTCGACCAAACATTGGATAACTTCTATATTGTTGTTTACGGCAAACTTGGAACTTAGCAGGGGCAATTCACCTCATAAATTCCCTTGTAATAACAGCTCACAGTTTCCCTAGACACTTGTAAGAGCACCGCAATAAGGTACCGGCGCTAAGTAACCGGGTCACCTCGCCGCATCGATACCTTACTAATTCACATGTTGTATTAATGTTCGTGACACGACCAATATGTGTAGCGAACCAATTTGACGGCGACGGCCCTGAGTACACCGCAATCATTACAAATACTTGACCTATACGGGAGCCTGCTCGTTGTGTGTCGACGGACTTCTAATAGTCGTATATGCTAATATACCTCTCTAATACTAGTTTGTATTTGCATACTATTACAGACGTAAATACCTTCCGTTTGTTTTTATAGTATTCATTAATATATTAGCTGTTTACGAGACTGTTAATAGGAGACTCGTTTGTTTAGATGAATTTTCTTCACGCTTCAGTGGGTCGTTTAGTATTGGCTTGGCTATCGAAAAATACTTATAAACAAAGACACATTAAATATATTTATAAAACAAAGTCAGCCTCAAATCATTCCTCACTAAAATTAAAATTAAATCTGAAAGGACGCAAATGGGTCTAGTGGACCACTACAAAACTGTTCAATGTAAATAACAACCTCCGCAATATTTACTATACCCTTAATCTGTGAAGCTATTCAATCGATATACATATTACACTCTCTATTGAAAGGTACGTGTCCCGGGGGTGAAATAAACTGTAATATTTCATTCTGCAGAGCAAAGTGGTTCCTACGGGTGAACCCTAAAAATCTTGAGGGTATTAAGCTCCTTATAAATAATTATTCGAACTAAGTTTTCAGTAATCGTATAACGGCTATCAGTACAATAATATTCAAATAGTATTAATCCTTTAAATACGACAAGGGGCTTGTTTATCTTGAATCAATTTATTAACTCTGTTTGTAACAAGGGATTCGATCTCGTTTAGGGCCTTCTGTCAATATTTAGATAACAATCTCTTTACCATCAGACGTGCTCAAGATGTTGCCTGTAATTCAATGGATTGGGTTGCTATAATACAGCAATTTATTGAAATAAAACGTACTTATTTACATTTTGATTTGGTTGATGTGGAAAACGCTTTTCCAAAAAGGTACTAAGTGGCCGCACTTGAAAGTTTAAGTAGAAAAAGATTTCAAGAGGCGATTTCTTGAGTTCTATTTAGAGGAAAGATAAGGGATCTTTTTAGGCATTCCAAAATTGTTACACATGCCTTGTGTCGGCCAGCACAATCTCATTGTCCTGATAGTGACAAATATATGGAAAGCCGCTGTCTTATCTGTGTGAATCGCTTTATTTCTACGTACAGCACCTACAGCGGTCGGAGTAGGCTTAAGAAAACTAAAGGTGGGAAGCTAATCCCGATATTATACCAACTCGTTATAAATTTGCAGGAACTTTTTGAACAAACTGCACACCAGAGTATCATAGTTGGGTAAGTCCGTCCTCAAGCTTTGTTACAGCTGCAAAAATTATCGAATTGAGGTGAATAGAGACCTCTCGACAGAAATACAGAGCTGTTTACAAATCCAACGGATATTAAAGTACTTTTGTTGGAGTTTAATCACGATTCGAAGCGGAAAACTGTTACTATTTCGTGTATTTGTCTATGTTAAAACTTAGCTACTAGAAGTATGTGTTGTTAGTAATATGTAAACTTATTACTTAGGTACTAACAACATTCACCAGTAAATAGGTAGTTTTCAAGAACCAGCATAATTATAGTTTTAAGTATATAGTGACTATCATTTATTCTAAAACTCCGTGTTAACTCTATATTAGCAAAAGCAAATGTAGTCACTATCAGAATTTTATCAATTCGTATAAAACCCCTCGTTTCTCACAACTGCATATCAATATTCCATTAAACTGCGCATACAGATGACTGCTCTACAAAAAAGAATTAAAACTCATATTTGCAGATATCGTTTATCAGTGAGTTGATTAGCAAATTATAATACAAGATGTGTGTCGGGACGGCATTGCATTATCTTTTTAATATGCACTGCGTCGCTAATATATTCAGATACAGTTTGGAGTAGAATCCTCGGCCACAGTACGCCAAACCGCCATCCGGACGACCGCAGCCCGCAGCGTAATTAGCTAAATATGACTTTTAAACTAAGAGCTCCCAGTTAGAAGCCTCTCCATATTCCGCCAACCTTTTTGCTAAACGAGCACATTTCCATGCGAACATCATATTCCTGGCTTGATATTTAATTTGGGACTGAAGAAATTTACACCGTCCCATTAAAATGTTGTTATGCGAGATTAATGTGTTTTGAATTTGTACCGCACGCGGAGCGAAACGCTCGTGTGAAAATTTTACAAGTACTGTTTTCCGGTAAGAATCGCCTCCTC